AAACTTGTCGCCTTTCATGATGTCTTCTTTGATTAAATCTTGAAAAATGGCATTGACAAAACGGTTGTAAACGGGGGGCGAGTTGCAAAATCCAAACGGTGCTTTGCAAAACTCAAACAGACCCTCTTTGGTGATAAAAGCAGTAAAGCGACTACTAGGCTCTTCGATCGGTACATGTAGGTAACTGTTCTCGAGATCCATGACAGTGAACACCTTCGCAGATTGAAGCTTTTCTGGTACCTCATCCATCAAGGGTACAGGAAAACTGTCTCTGAGTACCATTCTGTTCAGTTGGCGAAAGTCAATACAAATTCTGTTAGACCCGTCCTTCTTTTTCACAATGACTACTCGACTTGCGAAATTTGACGTTGATTTCCTTACTGTTTCCTCTTTCAGCCAATCGTCCACTTGCTCTCTTACGGCAGCTGCTTCAATTGCTGAAAGGGTTTCATCTGCTCATCCGGCACGATTTTCATTTGCACCGGACATTCAACTGGAGACTCGGCTGGCTTGTAATTGTCGACCAACGACTGTATTATCGGCTTGAACTGCTGAGAAACGCTTATATCAATTTCGGTCTCAACTATATTGTAAATACTTAGCTCATTACGTCCAGCGCTGTCTGGTCGCGCTAACACCTTGGTGAACGTAAATCCTTCCTCGTCCAACGTTACTCGAAATTTGGATGCGAAGTCGAAACCGAGTAGGGCATCCTCTTCGATGTTTTTGTCCGGAACTACAACAAATTTTTGTTCCACCTTAGATCCATCCACGTTGACTGTGCCGGTGAATGTACCCAGCGGCTTCGTTTGTATGTTTCCTAGCCCTCGCAGAACTATATAACATTTTTCAAGCTTCACGTCGATCAGCTTCTTGGAAACAGAGTGGCAGACAATTGACACATCCGCTCCTGTGTCAATCAGACACGTAATTTCGACTCCGTTCCAGTTGATCGTTTTATGGCGTTTGGAAGACTGATCCACCTGCACCGACCTGGTTACTTGCACTTGGTATCCACCTTGCAATCCTTTCTCAGGTGCTCCGCCGATCCGCAATTAAAGCAACGAGCATTTCGGTTGCTGGCACTGGGCATATTTTTCTTGCCACCACTGTGCAACTAAACATGATTTGACATGCACTTGCGTTGGTATATCTCGAATTTCTCATTGAGCTCGTGAAATTCTTTACAGCTGTAGAGGTTAAATTTAAGCTCACTTGGTATGTCCACTAACCATACAAAATAAAGAAAAGTCATTTCATACAACGAAAATGGGACCAAAAACTTCTTAGCGACAGGCCCCAGAGCTGTTCGCGATAGGCCCCACAGCTTCGTGTGCGCTCGGGTTTTTCGCTCTCTCATTCTTATGCTCGCACACTGATTGCGAGAGTTCAGTCGCAGAGTGGCGGATCTTCAGAAGGTTGCTCTGCGCTTGAACTCTTCTTTATATATATGCATGTTAATGCATTCACGTACACGGGTGCATGTGTGCGATCATTTCATTTCGGCCCAGCAAGAATATTTGGTATTTTGCTACTTTTCGCGCTAGGTACCCTAACAATATGGGCATATTAACCATTGGGTTAATGATAAAAATAAGGATGTTATATGTTATAATATATTTCTTACTTTTTCATCTTCCTGTCTACTTAGTGTTTGCCTATCTGTTTCATCTTCGTAGTCAACAAAGTCTGATCCATAAAAATAACATTTTATTGATCCTGTCAATAAAAAACATAAAGTTTTTCAAAAAAATTTCAGCTGGCTTTTGTTTAGCCCAAAATAGCAATTTAATACTGGTTCAAGTATGGCAATAATTGGTATTAAAACATTTTTATGAATGAAATCGGACTTCCTGAGTCTGTGAGGGACGCCGTAGTGATCGGAGATATAGATTTTGAATGAAAAACTAATTTTAATTGCCTTACATAATTGTTTTCGCCTGCATCCTTTCTCTCTAGGCACTGTCCAACGAAATGCCCAAGAGCTTCGCACTGATAGCACGATCCAGGCTCCTTCTTAGGTTTGCGACTGAAAGAGCTCCAAAATAAATAAGAAGTCTTCATCTGCTGAGTTTTTGTAAGAAACTGATTTTATTCCATTCAAACCCTAGCTTATATAGCTAACATGAGAATGTACATTGTAGATCTTAGTTCTAGACCCACGCATCGGACAGTTCCCGATCGTGGGAAGTATTTAAAGTACGATAAGAGTGCAAACAGTCACCCCGAAAGAACATATCTTAAACAAACCCAGACCGCTCGCAGGAGGTCATATTTCGGGTTACTTGTTACATAGGCTCAAGTGGCGGTTGTATTAATAGATAGATATGGTGCTAGGCCGTGCTCTGCTGCTGGGACTTTATCGCTAACAGATGCTTCTTATCTAAAACCATGTTCATGTTTGAACATTCTGCCAAGGGCCAGCAAGATTCGGGGTACATTTAAATTAGTTGCAATTAACATTAAGTGGACTGTATTTATTTTATATTAATAATTTTGCAACTAATATTTTACAACGCCTCTGTATCATGGCTTAATAAACAATTACAATTTCATTTTAATTTTTAATTCATGTTCCTGTGTGAACATTCTGCTAAGGGCCAGCAAGCTGTAGAATTTTAGGTTATCAACAAAAAATACAATACAATTCAAAATTATTTTTTTACGAATTACAAATTTTAAGATTTTGTTTACGGACATCGAAAGCATCAGCTTGTAATTGCCTGCTTACGAAATTATAATAATTTTTTATTATTATTAGCGGAGTGCCTTTAGTACTCCCAGATACCTCCAAAGTGAGGTCCTGCCGGCGGAATAGGCGGACTAAAATGCCACTCAATTCCTTCTTTTAATGGCCTTTGCCAACTTTTCTAGCTGCGCCTACAAAATTTGTTCCGTTCATCGGAATAAATAGTAGCGCCTCTTCTTGCGACCAAACCTTCTGAGTGCTGCTGTAGTCAGTGTGGGATGCGTTGAGGTGCCGCCTGAATCCTCGCTGCTGCTGTCGTCGCTGCTGCTGTCGTCGCTGCCGCCTTGTCGTCGCTGCGGCTGTAGTGGTTGTTGCAGACTTATTTGTAGTTGCTGCCGTGCGGTCGTCCCTCCTTCTCCTTATTCTCCGTCAAGGGCTGGGTAACTTCCACACATATTTTTATATTTTGTCGATTACTCGACAATAAAAAATTTTTCATTTTTATTCTCTTAAAAAACCAACCAATGGAGGTGGAACAATTTTTTGTTTTTTTTTTAACAAAAAGGACTCTTTTTTATCCTTTTGCTTTTGGCAATTTCAAATGCCACAAAATAATTTTATTTATTATTTTCCAATTTAATGCACTTTTCTTTCATTAGCACATTCACTACTGATGTTTTCTTTTATTTTTTTTTCAAAAAAAGGCCTCAGTATGCCTCCAAACCATATATTTCCATGGTATTTTATTCACTTCTGATGTTTTCTTTTATTTTTTTTAAAAGAAGGCCTCAGTACGCCTCCAAACCATATATTTCCATGGTATTACATTCACTACTGATGTTTTTTTTATATTTTTTTTCATGAAAAGGCCTCAGTACGCCTCCAACACCATATATTTCAATGGTATCACTTCTGATGTTTTTTTATATTTTTTTTCATAAAAAGGCCTCAGTACGCCTCCAACACCATATATTTCAATGGTATCACTTCTGATGTTTTTTTATATTTTTTTCATAAAAAGGCCTCAGTGTGCCTCCAAACCATATCTTTCAATGGTATTACAGCAACCTTTAGCTATGTCAAGCCTAAATGGTGCTTCAATTTAAACATAAAAGACTCTTTTGTGTCTTTTTGTTTTACAATATTATTCTCTGTTCCTTCCCACGGGTGGGGGAAACAAGAGATAATTATTTTTGCAGCCTTAATATTTTAAGGTGCTGATTTATAACTCTGAACCTCTTACCACAAGGGGGAAAGTTGCAGAGCGGTCGAAGGACCAAAATGAAAACCCCAAATAAATTAGAAGTCTTCATCTGCTGAGTTTTTGTAAGAAACTGATTTTATTCCATTCAAACCCTAGCTTATATAGCTAACATGAGAATGTACATTGTAGATCTTAGTTCTAGACCCACGCATCGGACAGTTCCCGATCGTGGGAAGTATTTAAAGTACGATAAGAGTGCAAACAGTCACCCCGAAAGAACATATCTTAAACAAACCCAGACCGCTCGCAGGAGGTCATATTTCGGGTTACTTGTTACATAGGCTCAAGTGGCGGTTGTATTAATAGATAGATATGGTGCTAGGCCGTGCTCTGCTGCTGGGACTTTATCGCTAACAGATGCTTCTTATCTAAAACCATGTTCATGTTTAAACAGCGACAGTCTTTGCCTAGGTGACCTCTTGAATTACAATTTACACATCGCAATCCTTCTGTGTTGTTTGTTCTTCTCACTTCCGCGTCCCATCACATTCTACTCACTCAGAGATTTTTTTTGTGTTCCATGGTCGCCATGTTGACTCATCTCAATTAAAATCAAAGTTTTCAAAATCGAATTTTGGTTTGTGATAAATTGAAGCACCAAGTGGCGCTTTTCCAATCTCTTAGTGGTTTCTGGCTTTACATATATATCTTGTGAGATAAAGAGGGCTAAGTCTCATAGCTGGTATCTATGCTCGCTTAGTGTGGAGCGCGTGGGAATATGCATATACATTTGAGAGCATGTGAGGTCTGCATGTGACAATTATGTCGACTTGAACTTTCCGTTAGCCGATCAAAGTATACAGACCGGCTCGGAATTCGGCCACTTGTTGTAGGGAACTGGAACCCAGAGTTTATATTTAATGTTTGATTATTGATTATAACGCAACAATGTATAAAGTACAGTGTGCATTCGATATATAATATATTCATATTACGGGGTATACATTTAGGGGTATACGTTGTGCCGAAATTTCCTTTCTTATTAGTATTCTTCTTGCTTATAATATGAATATTTTAGTTTCTAAATTGTAATTATTGATATTTCAGGGGTTCGAGTTAAGTGCAACTGAACTGGAGCCTGTTCTCTCTACATTGTCCCAACCGTATGCAGCAGCTATTGAGCAACGAGTAAAAGCTTTGAATAAAACGGTTCGGGGGCGCACAAAGTGCCGGTCCAAGCGAAAGCCTGACATCCGAGACGTATTTCGGGACTTCGATGTAAGTATATACGAAACTCAAAACAAACGTTTAGCTTAATATTATATTTTTTTGTAATTACAATAGTGCTTAAATGCGCATTGATTGCGTTTAGAAACAAGTAGGAAAGTTAGAGGAAAAAAATATAGATTCAGAAGAAACCGGGAGCGCATTAAAATAAAAGACACACGTTTCCCAGCGATTACACGAACTATTAATATAAATTTTTTTTTTAATAATAGGACAAAAAAATAACGTTTAATAGAACAAATGTTCACGCTCTCTTTTACTCTCACTCTCTCTTACTCTCGCTTTCGTTCACTCTCACTCTTACTATTACTCTCACTCTCTCACTTTCACTCTCACTCTTACTCTCAGTCTCTTTAGTAACTTTTGAGCATACAGTAAAAAAATTTGGCTACATAACATTTTTTATATATGAAAACCGGGCCACGCCTTGATGTGCCTAACAATTGAGTATATTACAAAGTTCTTAGTAAATAACATGTGACACTTAAACTTATGAATTAGGTAGGTAAGGCAGATAGTCTTAAATCTTTAACAGTAATATTTATTAGTTGAATTATAAATACTTTTAAATGCAATTTGATTTAGCACTAATCGGCGTATAATATTTTGGGTTAACCTGTCTTTAGCTAACACAAATAGATTCAACGGTTTTCCTAAACGTGAACATGCAACAAATAGTTGCCCATGAGAAAAACATCGATTTTCCAAATGTAAACCACAAATGGATATTTGACCTTGAGACTTATTTATAGACACGGCAAAAGATAAACGAATTTTGAACGGTATGGTATTTGGTATTTGACGGTATCATTGGAATACGTGGCAACAGGACCACTGTTCCTTCAAACTTCCCAGTTAAAATGGTTGCTTCAAGTATATTTGATCTTTTTGATACGCAATCCATGTCTAGCACTTGTGTGCATAGCTATTTGAAACCGCCACTTGAGCCTATGTAACAAGTAACCCGAAATATGACCTCCTGTGAGCGGTCTGGGTTTGTTTAAGATATGTATGTGCTATCGGGTTGACATGTGCACCCTTATCGTACTTAAAATATTTCTCATGATCGGGAACTGTCCGATGCGTTGGTCTAGAACTAAGATCTACAATGTACATTCTCATGTTAGCTATATAAGCTAGGGTTTGAATGAAATAAAATCAGTTTCTTACAAAAACTCAACGTATGAAGACTTCTCATTTATTTGGGGTCTTTCACCAGCTCTCAAGCCATTTGGAAGAACACCTAAAAATAACCTGCTAATTGAAGCTAAAACTAATACACTAGAAAATAGATGCAAGCTTTTAACCAGCAAACTCAGAACAAAACTTATTCTCTCTCATGACTTCCCAATAGACGAACTATCCAAATCCATAGCCAAAACAAAAAGAAATTACAGATGCCCCAACACATTAGACAGAATCATCGACTTCTGTAAAACCTTTTCCTTTCCATTCTCCTCAGCTGAAAGCTACACAGCAAAAAAATACAATACAGGAATAATTCTTAAAGCCACAAACACGACCATTTCCCTATACAACAAAAACATTACTCTGCCTATAACCTAACACCAACTGTTCCACTCTATAAAAAACTCCCTACACGATCACAAATTCATTTACACAGACGGCTCAAAAGCCAAGGACACTGTGGGCTACAGTGTCCCCAATAATACTGACATAATCATATATGGACTCCTTTCCCAGTACTGGTCCGTCTTCTCTAGTGAATTATTAGCAATCTATGAAGCTCTCAAAATTTTCTCAGGATCACCTGGCAAATATGCTATCTGCTCGGACTCCCTATCCTTCATTAAATCCATATCAAACGCAAACAACTACTCCTACTACCCCAATACAAGGGATGTCAACGCTGGACGCCATCGAGACGGTGGCCGAATCTGCTATCACCGGTAAGAGGTGGAAAGGTGGTTCCAAAACATACTGTCTAGTGGTAACGCTAGACATGCGGAACGCTATGAATATCCCAGGGTACCTCATGAGGATAGTAAGGAGCTACTTCAGTGAGAGAGTGCTCACAGTGGCTACGGATATGGGTTTAAAGAATACGAAGTCTCCGCCGGAGTCCTTCAGGGCTCCGTTTTGGGACCCCTGCTCTGGAACTCCATGTACGACGGTGTTTTGCGGCTCCCAATGCCCAGTGGCACGACCGCTGTGGGCTTCGCTGACGACGTAGCAGTGTTCATAGTCGCTAAGGAGCGCACCGTAACAGAAGTCATGGCAAAGCATGCGATCAAATCAATCGAATCGTAGCTCGCGACTGCTGGCCTGGAGCTAGCGACGGAGGGAGTCCTAATTTCGAGCCGGAAAATGGTGAAAACGGTCGAGATCCGGGTTGGCGGAGGTGTGATTAGATCGCAGAGGGCGTTCAATTACCTCGGTGTTCTGATCGATACCCGGCTTTCTTTTAAGGAGCACCTGAAGTACGCTCAGAAGAAGGCCAGTAGGACGACAGGAAGCCTCTCTCGGATACTCCTGAACACCAGAGGACCCAAGCAGATCACCAGGAAGCTTCTGACTAGCGTCGTAACTTTCCAGATGCTGTACGCGGCACCGGTGTGGGCTGAAGCCACCGAGTCCTATATACCGGGTGCCGAGTCTACATACAGACTGTGCGCTGTCCGAGTGGCAAGCACATTCAGGACGGTTTCGGCCGACGCTGCGTTGGTGATAGCGAGATTTGTCCCTCTGAGGGAGTTGGTCCGTGAGAACGCAGAGATGTGCCACGCGTTTCGCGGGCACCAAAGGCCAAAGGAGCTTAAAATAGCGGCTAGAGGAAGGAGCTATGAGAGCTGGCAAGCCAAGTGGGATGTCTCGTCCAAAAGGCGATGGACACACAGTTTGATCCCCAATATTGAGGCCTGGATGGAGCGGAAGCTTGCTGGCGAAAACTTTGCTCTTTAAATATCCCCAGAAAAAGAAGTCCGGAGCCGTCAAATCTGGAGATCTGGGTGGCTTATCGATATCGCCTTTTTTTGAGTTTTTTGAGTCAACACAACTCTACGACTGTTTTCAATGTAAAGAATCACTATTTAAGCGCGTTTTTTCGGAGTGAAGCGATTAATGATTAAAATTTTGTTACACTAAGGTTTTCAACACTAGTCTACTCAAGTCAATCGGTTCACAATTGACGAAGTTATTCAATGTTTACATACCGACATAAAAGATGGCGCACCTTGTACGTCATCGCATCTTGGCGTACTCATGCATATGGCGCGGGCTTCCAACATAAGTAGCTGGGAGGATGGTCAAACAACCGATGTTGGCCTCGTGTCCTTAAGTAGCGATGGCGTCACGCAAGTGGATGTACTCCTCTGCGCGTAACTTCGCCTGATTAAAACGAATGAAATTGAGACGTTCCGTTTCTACTTTGACATATATGTCGACACAGTACTGTTGAAACAAACGGCAGTATCTTAACAGATGATTGTCAACATCTAGTCGAATCTTCAATTGAACGCATAAAAATTCATAAAGCTGACCTTCTTATTCGTTGCTTCTCCTAAAATTTGAATTCAAACTTAGTTGTAGAATCAAAAAGAGCATTAAATTGTCTTGCATGGCTATAACCGCATATCCAATGCGGTTTTGAACAACCTGACCAATTCAATATGCTCATGGAGAAGATTTTGCAATTGTTTGATAATTTCACGTTTAGTTGCAGTAAAAATTGCACAGCGGTGATTTTGTTCAACTGCCGAATCAATGAAATAGATCTGAAGGAATTTATGATCCTTGTTTTGTGGTGGTAAAAAAGCGCCCGCTCGGTGGTGAATGTTGGGGTGCAATTTCGAAAAATTGGTAGTTGTTCATTTTGATAATTAAGAGACGCCATTACCTTATAACTTGGATTGTAGCCTGGTTGATGAACAACCTCGGCTGCAAATGACGTCATTTGAAAGCATCCGTTATATATTTGTGCAAGCTTTAGGAAACAGTTTGATTGGTCTGTATGTCCATATAGTAGCGAACACAATGGCTCTGGGGGATAAGCCAAAACGGGCAATTTAATTTTGCCACCTGCACAGCATAAACCGAGGGTTTCCAACCGAAACTTCAGTGCATTACAATGCTGACATACGACAGACAATGAACCAATAACAACGCAGCTATGATCTTGGTAGGGTGTTTCAGAATTGTATGCGAATGCAGTGCGATTCAAGTTTTCATTTGCGGTTCGTCTTCCTCTATTATTTTGTCGGGCTTGAGGTGGTCTTTGTACAGCGCGAAGCTGTGCCATTTGGGCACGTGTCGATGCATTTATTTGTGTACGTTCCTCTTGCGTCCGACTATTACGGAAATTCTGAGATCGTCTTGATCGTCTAACAGCAGGCATTATTTCCAATTGTTTAAGATCACTTTGGTAATGCTTCGTTAATTTGATTTTTTTTTTGTTTAAATATTTTTTTTTTTGTTTAAATATTTTTTTTTACCGATGCCATCGATACACAATATCACCGCAGCTATGATCTTTGTAGGGTGTTTCATAATTTTACATACAACAGTGTGTACATTTGTTGAGCCGCAAGCTGATCAAAAGTGCTTTTAAGTGTTATTAGTAGTGTTGGAAAGATTTTTATTGTTTGAGCCTAGGACCAGTAAAACTATGCATTGTATATTTTTTTTTTAGCACGCCTTTAAGAGCGGTGAAGGGGGAACGAAAGGATTTTCATTGCCAAGAGATACTTGGTCATATGACAAAAATTAAACACTCCTGCCGAACCCATTGCAGTTCAATGGTATTTTTGGTGCAACAACTCCTTTTAATTGACTGGAAAATATACTGAATTTCTGTCGTATGCAGCACTATTTTCACCACAGCTTGAACATCACAGATACGCAACTGTTTGAGTATCAAAAGCTGAAGATCAAGTCCAATGGGCTTCCGGACATCTGTTGCTTTATACAGTAGTTTTTGGTGTGTTCGAAGCATCTAAAACATTTTCTTTCAGCCTTTACCCGCTGCCTACCAA